CCCAGTAGTTTTTTTCTGCTCCTCTTTCTCCTCTTGCTTCCCACCCTCAAGTAGACCCCAGTGTCTGTCATTCCCTTCTTTGTGTTCATGAGTTCTGGGGTTTTTAGTGAAGAATAGTACCCAATTATATTTTAACTTTTCCAAGTATCTGTAGGTGAACAGGGACTTGGAATAGAATGTGCTGATTATTGACTCAGTACAGCCATTATCGTAATTCAGGTAATCATCTTTTAGTTTACTGCCAGTTTGCCTCAGTTTCTTTTCATAGCACCTGAAAGAATCTCTGATTGTTATTTTTATATTTTTTAATTTTTTGGAGATAGAGTCTCACTCTCATCTGGGCTAGAGTGCAGTGATGCGAGGGCTGTGATTACAGGTGTGAACCACCACGCCTGGCCTTTGTGTTACTCTTTTTTTTTTTTTTTTTTTTTGAGATGGAAAGTTGCTCTGTTGTCCAGGCTGGAGAGCAGGGGTGCAATTTTGTCTCACTGCAACCTCCGCCTCCTGGGTTCAAGTGATTCTTGTGCCTCAGCCCTCCAAGTAGCTGGGACTACAGGTGTGTGCTACCACACCTGGCTAATTTTGTATTTTTAGTAGAGATGAGGTTTCACCATGTTGGCCAAGCTGGTCTCAAACTCCTGACCTCAAGTGATCCACTGGCCTTGGCCTCCAAAAGTGCTGGGTTTACAGGCATGAGCCACTGCACCCGGCCTGTGTTACTCTTAATAGGTCTGGTGACTGTAAGAAATGTTTAGTCTTAGACATTGGAAAATCACTGGAGATCTATTGGGAAGGGACAGGGTGATGAATAGATGTGAAATCTTATCGTGAGCAGTAATTGAAAGAAATTAGGAATGTTAGGCCCAGGGAAGGAGTCTTTGTGGAGGCATAGTGATTATTTGTCAATATTAGAATAATTTTCATTTGAAAGAGTGCTTAGATGTATACTCCACTGGTAGAAACTATTGGAAAATGTGTTGGTTTGGTGTTAAGGAAGATATTTTAAAAATAATTTCTAATAAAATATATTTTAAACTGTGGCTATTTTATTTATTATTATTATTATTTGAGATGGAGTTTTGCTCTTCTTACCCAGACTGGAGTGCAATGGTGTGATCTCGGCTCACTGCAACCTCCGCCTCCTCCAAGCAATTCTCAACTTAGGGTTCAAGCAATTTTCCTGCTTCAGCTTCCTGAGTAGCTGGGACTACAGGTGCACGCCACCATGCCCAGCTAATTTTTCTGTATTTTTAGTAGAGACAGGGTTTCACCATGTTGACCAGAATGGTCTCAATCTCTTGACCTCGTGATCCACCCGCCTTGGCCTCCCAAAGTCCTGGGATTACAGGTGTGAGCCACCGCACCCAGCCTACTGTGACTATTTTAAATAGAATTTTGAGATCTAATTGTTGGAAAGATTGTGGTATTTTTTTTTCTTGAGACAGGGTCTTGCATTGTCACCTAGGCTGGTTACTGCAGCCTTGAACTCCCAGGCTCAAGCAATCCTCCCACCTCAGCCTCATGAGTAGCTGGGACCACAGGCATGAACCACCATACCTGGCTAATTTTTGTATTTTTTTTCTCAAGATGGGGTTTCATCATGTTTCCCAGGCTGGTCTTGAATTCTTGGACTGAAGTGATCCACCCTCCTTAGCTTCCCAAAGTGTTGGATTATAGGTGTGAGCTACTGCAACTGGTCAGTTGTGGTCTTTTTAGTCATAAAAACCTAGGTTTGAATCTTTGTTCTGCTTTCTGTGACTGTGGGCAAGTTGTTTAACCCTTCAGCTTTATTATTATCTGTTATGCTGGGGTTTCTGTGAAGCTTAAATTTGATTAAATGAGCTAATTCATATGTAAAATTTTCAGCTTCATTGTTCAGTGGGTATTCTACTTCTTCCGTAGAGAGGGCAACTTTACAGGAATCTAATAGAAAGCAGATTCTTGGAAGGTACAGGAGTAGTTCCTTTCTTCTTGGAAGGAATGATTGGACCACTCCTTCGTGTTGTTTTGTTACCCAGTGGTTTAACCTGTTTTATGGGAGTTGAACTAAATGACCTCCAAGCTCAAGAATATTTGGAAAGGAAACAAAGAGTAGCAATGAGCACTCCCAGAACCCAGGTTATGGTATTTCTATAAATGAAAGCGGATCAGGGCTCCCTGGAAATGATTGTTTTCAGGTCTGTGGCAAGAAAAATTCAAGATGATCCTGGAACATCCTGACATACCAGATAGAAAAGAAGCTGTTACAGACTGCTAAGATCATGTCAAAAGGACCCAGGAGCTAACCTTCAAAGATGAGACAGTTTGAACACTATTAATAATTGTTATGAATTGAAATATATTAATAAAATAATGTGTTACTGTTGGAAGATGCACGTGAATCTAGTCATCATTTTGAAAACCGATAAGAATTAAGGCTTTTTCCCTCCTTTCCTGTATTATCATTCAGTAACTATATCAAGTAGTATAAAAGGGAAATTTCTCTTAGCAGAAATATTCCAAATAATACATAAGGAAGGAATGAGATAATATAATTACTTAGAACCCTAGTGAACTTAGGGATCCAAGCACTGATCATCAGTTACTGCAAGTATCACAAATACAGCATCACAATATGTGCCTCTTGATGGAATAATATACCACTGCATGTGAAGTATTGCCAAAAAAATAGAACCCAGATTGGTTAAAATCTGAAAATCTCTGTACCCAATCACCAATTTACATGAAAAGCAAAAGACAGAAAAACGTTTAATTATATCATGGATAAAATCAGCAAAACCCAGACTTTAAAAAAATGTTTTGGGTCAGGCATGGTGGCTCATGCCTGTAATCTCAGCACTTTGGGAGGCCAAGGTGGGTGATTGCTTGAGGCCTAGAGTTTGAGACCAGCTTGGACAACATATAAAATACAAAAATTATCTGGGCATAGTGGTATGTACCTGTAGTCCTAGCTGCTCAGGAGGCTAAAGAGTGAGAATCCCTTGAGCCCAGGAGGTTGAGGTGGTAGTGAGTTACGATTGTACCCTGCACTCCATTCTGGGTGACAGTGAGACACTGGGGAGGAAAAAAGTTCTTTGAGAAATAACATTTTAGAATATTAATAGATGGAATGCTAAGCCAAAAACTTTTCTTCAAAATAATATCAAAGGAAACTCGGAAGAGGTGGTGGAAAGAGGAGGATTGGCCATGGATTGTTGGGGGCTCAGTGATTGTTACACAGGAGTTTGTCATCTGCTTTTTGTTGTATTTATGAAAACACAAAAGTTGTCCATAATTAAAAAAAATCCCACCCCAGCAGTCTCACTTTACTAATAAATACTTTTTTAAGTATTACTTTCTTCTTGTAAACACATTTTACTGTTAACTATGCATATGCTATTTTTTTTCTGCCATTTTTAAAGTGTACATATTTACTGTGCTTTTCTTGGCCTTCAAATTAATATTTAATATGTCATAACTTAGTAGATTATTCCCTTTTTTGCTTTGTGAATAAAGCTTAGCAATTTTGGGCACATATTTCAGTGCTTTTATTGAATTTTTTCTTAGGCTAAACTAGAATTAAAGTACCTTGGTCCCTTTCACCCTTGATATCAGCTACTCCTGATGCTCGTTTTTCCCCTTGCTGTCCGACACAGTGCTACCGTAGGGTCTTACTTGCCATTTTTTGCTGATATTTTCTTCCCTTTTCCCCCATAAAAATACATTATTTTAAAATTAAAATAGTTCCTTTTCCCCAAATTCTGTTCTTTAGAGGCAACTTTTGTTATCAGCGTGGAGTATAGTTTTTGTCTTCTTAGCAGTAAATGTAGTTTTTACTTTCTCTTTGTACTTTACTGCATTTTCAAATTGTCTACACTGACCATTATTTACTTTTATTAAAAACATTGTTGGCCGGGCGCGGTGGCTCAAGCCTGTAATCCCAGCACTTTGGGAGGCCGAGGCGGGTGGATCACAAGGTCAAGAGATCAAGACCATCCTGGTCAACATGGTGAAACCCCGTCTCTACTAAAACTACAAAAAATTAGCTGGGCATGGTGGCGCGTGCCTGTAGTCCCAGCTACTGAGGAGGCTGAGGCAGGAGAATTGCCTGAACCCAGGAGGCGGAGGTTGCGGTGAGCCGAGATTGCGCCATTGCACTCCAGCCTGGGTAACAAGAGCGAAACTCCGTCTCAAAAAAAAAAAAAAACATTGTCAGATATTTCAGGCATAGAAATATAAATTGTGATAAACACCCATGTATTCATTAGCAAGCTGCAAAAATAAAACATTGCAGATACAGTTAAAACTGCCTTCATAATCTTTCTTTTGCAGATATAACTTTATCGTGAATGTTATGTTTGTCAATTTCATGTTCGTTTCTATGCTTTTGCTGCAGTTTGTATGTCTTGAAACAGTATAAACCTATTTTGCAAGTTTATGCATTTTATATAAAAATTAGTACTATGGGCTGTGTTTTTATTTTTCTTTTGTATAGCATACTTTATTAAATATTTTAGCCATTACCAAATTGCCAAATAGATAAATAATTAGTATTACCAGATCATTCTTTGAAGTGATTGTTTTCGTTCATAATACCACAAACACTACTTGAATGTTTGCTTTGTTTTACATCCTTATTAACACCTGGTATTATCAGACTTACTAAGTTTTATGAATCTAATGATTGTAAGGTAGTATCTCGTTTTTGTTTTAATCACATGTGCCTTTTATAATTTGGAAAAATGTGTCCCTTTTTCATTCCCTAAGCTTCCTGGGGACATAGCCATGATGCCTTTTAAGTTAAGAAAGTGCCACATGATTGTCTAATTCTCTCTCAATAAACTGCCCACTTAGTGTACCATGACAAAAGATTGTATTAAAGCGAAAGTCTGATACTTTTGAGATAGTAGGACTTCTTTTTGCTCTTCTAAAGAACTAAAATGATGGTTTTTGACAGTGTATAGTTTAAAAAGTCTGTAGCACCAGAACATTTGACATATTCTCTGTCTTTCCTGTTCTAGGCTCCGAGCTCTGTCCAGTGGTGGAAGTATTACATCCCCTCCTCTTTCTCCAGCATTGCCGAAGTACAAATTAGCAGATTATCGTTATGGCAGAGAAGAAATGTTAGCACTTTTTCTTAAAGATAACAAGGTAAGAAAGTAGGAAAAGAATTCAAAATTATGAATGAGACTTTGGGATATATACCATGACGTATTGATACATGAAAACTGATGTATTTTACTAATGTATTTACCCATGCCTTTTCTCTCCACCTTACTGTTTCTCTGCTTTGAAGCCTACAGTAGGATCTTCAGAGTGTATCACACACTATTTTTTAGGCAGCTTCATGGAAGCAGGAAATAGCACTTAATACCTTCTCTAGCTAACTTCCTCTTAACCTCCCTTTCATATCTATTTGTATCCTAGTTCAGTGGCTGAGAGATGAATTTCTCCTTTCTCTTTATTGTACCTCTTAACCTACTTTCCAGTTAAAAGTAAGGAGCAAGATGAGGAGCACCTTCAACTATTTGAGTTAAATATAAAATTTTTAGTGGAGAGAAAACCTTAAAATGTAATACTATATTTGTGTCACTTAGAAATCATCAAAATTGAAAGTGTAGACTTTTATTATGACTTTTATCTTACTCACTGAGTGACTAGTGAGAAAGAATATATATTTTCCCAAGATACTTTTTTTTTGAAACAGAGTCTCACCCAGTCGCCGAGGCTTGAGTGCAGTGATCTCTTCTCACTGCAACCTCCACCACCCAGGTTCAGGTGATTGTTGTGCCTCAGCATCCTGAGTAGCTGGGATTACAGACATGCACCGCCATGCCTGGCTGGTTTTTTTTGTATTTTTAGTAGAGATGGGGTTTCACCGTGTTGGCCAGGCTGGTCTTCAACTTCTGGCCTCAAGTGATCTGCCTGCCTTGGCCTCCAAAAGTGCTGGGATTACAGGCATGAGCCACAGTGCCTGGCCTTTAGTGTACTTTGTTTTTCATTGATCAAGAATTTCAAATTTTAATGATGGTTGCTAAGGACAGATACAGTTGCTTATAAAACTCTCTTTATCATCTTCTGCTTTGCATTAAATGTAGAGACTTATTCTTCCACTTTGTTCTCTGGAATAGCAGAGGTAGTGCTAAATCCAAAAGTGGCCATTATGTGAGAGGCTGGGGAGTGTTGACTGGGGTTTTTAATGTTGACTGTCAAAATACATAAGGACTGTAGAAGTCAGTTATGGCTGAATAAACATTAATCTGTATTTATAATAATCAACAATAAACAGAAGAGTATTTTCCCTTGGATTTATCTTCTGGTAATTTTTCTTATTTGCAGGAATAGCATTAATCTCATAATCATGTGTTTGGTCGTACAGATACCTTCAGACCTTCTGGATAAAGAATTTCTGCCTATCCTCCAGGAGGAACCCCTTCCACCATTGGCCCTTGTACCCTTTACAGAAGAAGAACAGGTTTGTAATTAGCTCTGAGCCCTAGCAAACCCTTGTTCTTTTCCTCCTAAGACATGAAAATAGGAAGTTACTATTTATTCCCTAAGAATTATCCTGCATCCTCATAGCTCTACTTTCTTCTGTTTCGTGGTACATTGATGCTTAATAGTTGACTGGATTTTCCTGTCGTATTTGCAACTGTTGAAAATTTCATAGAAACATTTGTAGATCCTTAAGGACATTGGGAACCATCCTTTAAAACTTACTCAAGTAGAGGGGAAGAGTGTTTTTCCAGGAGGTGAGAAGATCATCTTTGCAGATAAACAGATTTTCAGAAGTAATTCAGAAGTGAATTCTTACTAGTGCATTTTACCGCTAAAGGGAAAATGTGTATCTTCAGCTCAAAATGCACTCAAAACTCTTCTGTCACCAGTTTATGTGTGTGTGTGTGTGTGTGTGTGATGTGAGAAAGTAAAACTTCTGGGCTAGAAAGTAGCAAATTTAGTGTTGTTCCTGTTTACAGTGTATTTTGTCCTGTACAAAGATGAAAGAGTTTCTGATTTCAAGGAACTTACGATGACCGTAGTAAAAGGGGAAAATAAGCCTTGTTGGAAGTCTTGAATGTTACTTTATGGGCATCCATATAGGAAGAAGAGAGTCCAGGGAGCCAAAAATATACCTGTTTTACTCTTAGGAAAAGGTAAAGCAAGAAGTAATAAAAATTTTTTTTCCAAATAATCTACGAAATATTAAAATTCTGGGCATTTGAAAGAGAATTTTTAAAGAGGGTTTTAAACTATGAAATGTTTTGAACTTTATATAAAAATATTGGGGCTGGATGCCATGGCTCACACCTGTAATCCCACTACTTTGGGAGGCCAAGGCAGGTGGATTACCTGAAGTCAGGAGTTAAGACCAGCCTGGCCAACATGATGAAATCCCAACTCTGCTAAAAATACAAAAACTAGCTGTGCGTGGTGACACACGGCTGTAATCTCAGCAACTCAGGAGGCTGAGGCAGAAGAATCTCTTAAACTGGGGAGACAGAGGTTGCAGTGAGCCAAGATTGCATTACTCCACTCCAGCCTGGGCAACAGAGTGAGATTCTGTTTAAAAAAAGAAAAAAAGAAAGAAAATGTTGGCATATGTCCTTTGCTTGAATACCTTCTGTACACTTGGTACAAAAAGCAGAAGTGTGATACACAGATTAAAATGCACCTTGGACATGGCTGGAGTCAAAGGTCCTCTGGGCAGTTGGGCAAAAACTGAGGCTTAGGAATTAGGGTAAAAAAGAATCTGGCAATTCAACTAATATTTTAACCCTTTATGTGCAAGCATCCTGTTTACCAAAGGAAGCAAATGTTAGTAATTTTTTATGTATTTTTCCAAGTAAATATGGAAATATATTTTCCTCCTTTTAATACAAGTTGCGTGGTTCTGTACTTCCAATATCAAGTATTTTTATTGAAATACTTCCCTGCAGATTTGGAAACAGTTTTTTCCGTCATTTTAGTATGCATTTCCTTGCCTGTAGCAGTAAACAGTTGTTTTTCAGATGTTTATTCATCATTTATATTTCTGTTAATTTTTTTCTTGCCTTTGCCAATTTTTCTTTTGGGATATTAATCTTTTTCTTGTTGATTTATGCTATTTATATGAGCTCTGTGTGTGTGTGTGTGTGTGTGTTTATTTTTTGTTTACTTATTTAGTTTTTATTTTTTGAGATAGGATCTCACTCTGTGACCCAGACTGGAGTACAGTGGTGTGATCATAGCTCGCTGCAACCTTGAACTGCTGGGCTCAAGGGATTCTCCTGCCTCAGCCTCCTGTATAGCTGGGACTACAGGTGCATGCCACCACACTTGGCTAGTTTTGTTTTTTGCAGAGATAGGATATTGCTGTGTTATCTAAGCTGGTGTTGAACTCCTGGCCTCAAGCGATTCTCCTGCCTTAACCTCTCAAAGTGCTGGGCTTATTGGCATGAGCCACCATGCCTGGTCTGGCTCCTTATATTTTAAGATCATTGACCATAGATATGTACCTGGTAAGTTTTCTAAATTTTAAAATTGCATTTATGATTTTGTGTATTTCTTTTTCTTTTTAAGATTGAGTCTTGCTTAGTCACCCAGGCTGTAGTGAAGTATCACAGTTTCGGCTCACTGCAACTTCTGCCTCCTGGGTTCAAGGGATTCTTGTGTCTCAGCCTCCCGAGTTGCTGGGATTGCAGGCGTATACCACCACGCCTGGCTAGTTTTTGTATTTTTAGTAGAGATAGGGTTTCACCATGTTGGTCAGGCTGCTCCCAAGCTCCTGAGCTTCAAGTGGATCCTCCCCCTTTGGCCTCCCAAAGTCCTGGAATTACAGGCGTGAGGCACCACACCTGGCCACATTGTGATTTTAAATACAAAAGCTAACTTTATGAGGTTCGTATACCAGTTTTATTCTTTCGTGATTATTCTTTTAATTTTTAGCTATTTATATATTTAAAAAATTCCTTTTTATGTTTCTTGAAATGATTTCATAGATTTCTTAGAGACTAAATGTATCAGAAGAGGTTGACATGCTACTAGTTACCAAAATGTGGTAGACTTTTAATCAACAGAATGAGTAATTGAATTACCCAGAAACGTCTCATAAGATTTTAAAGAAATTAGTGTGTAGTAAAGACACAAATCATTTAGAAAATCAAAAATTATTTTGCACATGTTGCTTGGGATCTGTTGGTTAATTGCAGTTAACCAGTAATAGTTGGTTAACAGTTTAGAGAAGAATAAAATTAGGATTGCAGTACACCTACACACCAGAATTAGTTCTAGAACAACTAAAGTAGTATGTTTAAATTTTTTTTTTTTTTTTTTTTTTGAGATGGAGTTTCGCTCTTGTTGCCCAGGCTGGAGTGCAATGGTGTGATCTTGGCTCACTGCAACCTCTGCCTCCTGGGTTCAAGCTATTCTCCCTCAGCTTCCTGAGTAGCTGGGACTACAGGCATGCACCACCACGCTCGGCTAATTTTGTATTTTTAGTAGAGATGGGGTTTCTCCATGTTGGTCAGGCTGGTCTTGAACTCCCGATCTCAGGTGATCCACCTGCCTTGGCTTCCCGAAGTGTTGAGATTACAGTCGTGAACCCCTGCGCCTGGCCCTTATTTTGTGCTTAGGATGGAAATGTTTATCTTAAGGTCTGTATTCTGTGATCACAGGAGCTTGATGCAAGGATTGGGAAGTTTTCACTGTAGCCACAGAAGATCATCAGGTCGGTTTTTGAAGGCATTTAAAATGCACCATATGGAATTCTCTGATGTATATTTAATAGGCTGTGTCATTTACCACATATGTTGGAGTAGGACGGTGCTTAAAGCTGGCAAACAATTCATAAAAAATTTTATGTTTGTCCTTTGAATGATCAAGTACCCTTCAGAAATTAGTATTGACTAGATCTTTCTAGAGTAGTTTTGTATACTTTTTATTTCGTACTCCTAGGGAGGTAAATACTTTAATAACTTAAAGCAGGCTTCTTGCTGCATGTCTTGTTTCCTGAAGTTACCTGAAATAGGTATCTTTTTTTTTTTTTTTTTTTTTTTTTTTGAGACAGTGTTTTGCTCTTGTTGCCCAGGCTGGAGTGCAGTGGTCATGATCTTGGTTCACTACAACCCCCGCCTCCCGGGTTCAAGTGATTCTCCTGCCTCAAGCTCCAGAGTAGCTGGGATTACAGGCATGCACCACCACATTCGGCTAATTTTGTATTTTTAGTAGAGATGGGGTTTCTCCATGTTGGTCAGGCTAGTCTCAAATGCCTGACCACAGGTGATCTGCCCACCTCGGCCTCCCAAAGTGCTGGGATTACAGGCATGAGCTACCACACCCAGTCCTGAAATAGGTATCTTTAAAGTGTATTGGCATACTTATTCTCCCTTTCCCTCCGTGTATCTATGTATCAAATATAGTGAGGACAAAAATGCATTACATCTGGAATTTAGGTAGCTGTTACAAGATGGGTGTATTTTATTTATTTGACATCAAAGAAATTACTTCATTTATTCATTCTTGAATAGATAATACATGTATATATACCTAACAAAATTCAAAGAGCACATAATGAAAAGCAAGTCTGTGACTCACCCAAACTCTGCTGCCTGTTACTCTTCCTCAGAAGTAACCACTATTTCCATTTTCTTGTGTTCTCTTCCAGGGATGTTTATGATGTCTACAAGTATCTGTATATTCTTTTAAACACATTTCACTCACACACACACACACACACAAATACAAATGGTGGCGTGCTATGCTCACAGTTCTACACTTTAGTTTTTTTTTTTTTTTTGGACAAAGTTTCGATCTATTTCCCAGGCTGTCTAAAGTGCAGTGGCGTGATCTTGACTCACTGCAACCTCCGCCTCTCAGGTTCAAGTAATTCTTCTGCCTCAGCCTCCCGAGTAGTTGGGACTACAGGTGCCCTGCCACCACACCTGGCTAATTTTTGTATGTTTAGTAGAGACAGGGTTTCTCCATGTTGGCCAGGCTGGCCTCAAACTCCTGACCTCAAGTGATCTGCCTGCCTGGGCCTCCCAAACTGATGGGATTACAGGTGTGTGCCACCATGCTCAGCTATATTTTGTAATTTTAGTAGAGATGGGGTTTTGCCATGTTGGCCAGGCTGGTCTTGAACTCGTGGCCTCAAGTGATCCACCTGCCTTGACCTCCCAAAGCTCTGGGATTACAGGCATGAGCCACTGTGTCTTGCCCTTTATAGTTTTTACCTAAGCATCTAAGAGATAATGACATACTTACTTAGTTTTTATTATGTATTAGACATTGTTCTAAGCACTTAACATTTAATGTGTTGAGTGCTTGCAGTAACCTGTGAGGTAGATAAAAATATTCCTGTCTACATTATATAGATGAGGAAAATGAGTCACAGAGAAATTGAGTATAGGGGCCAGAATTCAGTCTCAGGCAGTTTGGCCCCTCCATGTTCCTGATTATAAGTATGTTCCATGTCCCTGTATATTAGGTTAACCATAGGACATTGCAGTTTTTGTTACCACATGATTCTGCCTAAGAAATAGAGGTTTCATTTTTTCTTTTTTTTAATCAGCAGTACAGAATTTTATGGGTAGGGGACCATGATTTTTAAATTAGCCTTTATTGGCGGATACATAGATGGCCTCCATATTTTGCTTTTATAAACTACTCTAGTTAATGATCTTCTATTTATTTTGGTTTTTACATGGGTAAGAAGTAGAATTGTTGTGTCAAAGGGGATGGGCATTTAAATAATTGTTAGAAATTGCCTTCTAGAGAGATTATGCTAGTTTATGCTTTCTTCAGCAATGTATGAGAGTGTGTGAAAATACATGAGTGTGTCCCCACACGTACAAATGGGTGCATTGAGTTTTATATGTGATGGTTTGGTTAATAGGTGTTCAACTGCATGGGATCCTAGCATACATAATGCAGTTAGCTCTGACCTTGATTATTTCAGTATTCGAATATATTAATCTGGATTTTGGGACCTCATACTGTCGTTTAATTATAATAATACCCAGAGGCATTATTCAGTACCCCACTGCCTACTCTGTGCTAAAAGGTAAGTTAATATATGTTTCAGTCAGTTTTCTTTTTTATTAAGTACATTTTATTACAGTTTGAAATAGAAATATAATTTTTGAGTTTGGTGTCTTTCTCTTATTTTTAGTTGATAATTTTATCTTAAGTCTTTAGTTTTGAAGTTACTTGATTATATGATTATATACCTATAAACCCAAGGAAAATCTTACTTTTATTTTTATGTTTTTATTTATTTATTTTTTTTCGAGATAGGGGTTTACCATATTGGCCAGGCTAATATCAAAGTATCAAACTCCTGACCTTGTGATCTGCCCACCTCAGCCTCCCAAAGTGCTGGGATTACAGGCGTGAGCCATTGTACCCAGCCAGAAAATCGTATTTATGCTGTTAAAGTTTATAAAACTTACTTGAACAAATTGTTTTGAAAAAATTTTGGAAAAAAAAAAAAAAAAAAGCAACTAGGAGAAGATGGCCTATTTATTACAACAAACTTAATAATGAAAATAGAAGTTTTTTGTTTTTTTTTTTTTGAGACAAGAGTTTCGCTCTCGTTACCCAGGCTGGAGTGCAATGGCGCGATCTCGGCTCACCGCAACCTCTGCCTCCTGGGTTCAGGCAATTCCCCTGCCTCAGCCTCCTCAGTAGCTGGGACTACAGGCACGGGCCACCATGCCCAGCTAATTTTTTTGTAGTTTTAGTAGAGACAGGGTTTCACCATGTTGACCAGGATGGTCTCGATCTCTTGACCTCGTGATCCACCCGCCTCGGCCTCCCAAAGTGCTGGGATTACAGGCTTGAGCCACCGCGCCCGGCCAATAGAAGTTTTTTTTTAACAATTAGATGTTGACTTCTTCAAAAGAAAGTGGTATAGACATCATTTCAATTGATTTTGAATCAAGTCAGTGGAAACCACATTGGACTAAAATATTGTTTCTTTGGATTAAAATATTAGTTGAATTGCAGGATTCTTTTTTACCTTATTTCTTAAGCCTAAGGTTTTCCCTCTGGCAGGAGGGCCCTTGGCTACAGCCATGCCAAAAATGAAGTCACTGTCTCTTTGTTCTTGACCCTCTTCTAGATTGGCTGTGGTGCAAATGTAAGTTAATAACTGAGTGATTGGATTTTACTTTATTAAGCTTTCCCTTCCTCTTCTCATTAATGTGTTATTTAGATGGTTGCTCTTATTTAGAATCCTTGGCTCTTTCCCATTCACTTCTGATTCCTGTCATTCTGTTAAATACTGCTTGGAGTTGCTAATTCACATTGATGTGCAGAATAAGGCAAAAAAGATCATTCTCTTTTCTCATACTACCCTCGCATCAGACCTTTTGGTAACACCCTTTCATTTTCACCTTTCACCAGTTAAAGGCTTACAGGACCCTTTCAAACCAGATCTTTTTTGTAAAATTTTCTGTATTTATTGTTATGTATTTTCCCTATCTACTTCTGGGTACATAGAGCATTTAGTTTGTTTGCTTATTATTTCCTCACCAAATCTCGCATAGTGTAAGATATTGGTTGTCAATTTTGTTGATTTGAAGTGTTAATTTGCAGTTGTCAGGTAAAATCAGGTTTTGGATCATCTCGTATGTTGTGTAATTACAGTTTTCCATTGCTAGTAGTAATTAGATGCCATTTTATAGATGCATTGGAAATGTGGGCAGAAGCAACATGTCATTTTATCTGTTTCATCCATTTTTTTTCTTTGTTTTTTTCCTTTTTCTCTCTTTTTTTTTTTTTTTTGGCAGAGAAACTTCTCCATGTCGGTAAATAGTGCCGCTGTCCTGCGATTGACAGGACGAGGAGGAGGAGGAACAGTGGTGGGGGCTCCTAGAGGTCGAAGTTCTTCAAGAGGGCGAGGTGAGCTTTCATGTAAAAAAAGTAATAATGGAGGAGGAGGATAGAGAACAAACTTTTTGAAATATTTTAATGCCTGATTTAATAAAAGCTGTTGTTTGACATTAACTGCATACTAAATGTCCTGAACATTTATATTCTAAACCATCCTTTTAAGGTATCTTCTCTATAACCCCTGATTTAGAACAGAGGATTGTAATTCTAGCTGTAGAGATTTGAACGTCAGGGAGTTTAGACAGTCCCAGTTCCCTCCAACAAATCGTTGTTCCTTATCCATGTTCCATGTTCCACATCCCCAGGGAGCCAAAACTTCCTGAAGTGTTGACTGTGAAAGCAGCCCTGAAGTACCTGCAGTACTGTGTGACAGTTGCTCTGTGGGGGGTGTGTGCCAAGAGCTGCTCCAGCCAGAGAGGGGCTTCAGTAAAAACTGCCTCATCAGTACTAGGACCTATAGGGGTAGAACAAAAGATAATTCTGCCACATTCATTTATTTAACCTATAGTTTTACAGATTTATGTCTTGGAAAAATAGTTTTTATTTTGATATTACTTGTTTCTTTGATATCTGCTCCCTATTTTGGGTTCGTTGGTTTTCTCATATATGAGGACATTCTTAATATTTGTAATGTAAATATTTGCTTGAGCATTTAGCTCTTACATTGACTAAATCATAACAGTGGTCTAAATATACCTTGTAATTTTCTCTAAGAGATGCTTTAGAGATGGAAGAATTGGGTGTCTACAATAAGAGAGACCATTGTCTCTGCATATCATACCACCAAGATTGGCATGATCATGAGTATAGAGTATTTAAATTTTTTATAAATAGAACAATTTATCTACAGCCTTGATAGAAAATGCATGTGCATTCCTGAGAGTAGATTTCTTTTAGTAGTCCACTCAGAATGTGAGAATCCAGGTGCAAAGTGTCTGATTAAAACTCTTCACTTGTTATGCTAGGTACTATTACCTAGCTGTGTGGGGGTTTTTTTGTTTGTTTTTCAAACCTGAGGAGATGATAGACTAATCTGTAAAACTTAAAAGAAATAACTGTGCAACAGAATTTTGGGTGGTAGGATCTAGGCATGTGTGGGATTCAGAAGCTTACAGGCAATTCAGATTCATACACCAAGTTAGGTTACATTCGTCCAGAATTTGAGATCCATGCATCTTGGTAGCATGGTGGTGGTTTCAAGTTGGGACAGACCACTCACGTCTCTGGCCTGCTACTTGGACATTTCCTGTGTTTTTCTGCTGTGGTTTGGTGGTGAGGAGAGGTTGTACTTGGGTAGCTTTGCCTCCAGTGCTTTTCATGGCAAGCCAGGGATAGATCTTCTTGAAGAAGTGTGAATCACACCGACTTTGTGTGCTGCAAATACCAACCAATCTCTAAACAGTCTGCCCCCTTAATTACTTAATTGAGAACCAAGTGAATAATTGATGAATTTCTCCTTGCTTTTTGGTTTCTATGAAATGAAGGGTTATCACATAGGATAGAAAGCTTACATTTGGAATTTAATTAGGCTATTATAAAAAAGATGTTGTAACATATGTAAGAAATAGTGACTTTATTAACATATTAATGTTGAAGAATGGCATGAAACTAGTCAAACGACTGAATTGACTTTATGCAAAAAGTACTTTCAACATTATCTCAACCACCCGTGATTCTTTTTAATGTTCTCCATAGCTTATTTTCTAAAACAAGGTTGTAATTATAATCTGTGGTTTTGTGTTTTCCACTCATTACTTAATTTTAACTTGCTGGTTAAATAATGATTATTGTGGCTTTTCTTTGTATAGGCAGAGCTAACCTTAGATGATTATCTTGGCTGTTTGCAACTTGAGGAAACTTTGATGTGGAAACTGACTGATTTCCCGACTGCTAAATATCATGAACTAGTAAAATTTAAATAAACTAAATAGGTGGTTAAAACAACATTGAAACTCATCTTCCTATTTGGTTAGGTTGTTTAAAAATAAAGCAGATTGACACAACTCTCAACCATTGTCTTCATCATTATTAAAAGGAAGTATGTTTTAATTCCCAAGAAGAATAGGGTGAACTCTCAGACAGTAGAACAGTTCTTTAATTGAGCTTTATGAAAGGTTCATCATGTTATATTTACTTGCTTGTTCATGTATGGGAGCCGCTTTATAGAAGATTAAATTTTTTTGGTGCTGGAAAGCTTTAGAACCTGATCATTGTAATGTGTCCCACTGTAAAGTTTTAGTATCATTAGCAAGACCTGTGTCAGTGCTAGTCATAACTGAGGAAATATTTTCTATGTGTTTTGCTTGTTTTTCTGGTAAACTAGAGGCTATTTTTTACATTTTTCTATTTCTGGAATAAAACGTTTTCTTCAAAGTGTAATGGCCTTCCTGAGAAAATGGCTTTCTCTAAAAGGAAAGACTTTTGCCCCCATCCTAAAATCTTCCTTGTAGAGGACAGGTGTTATATGACAGTTAGTATTACATTATTTTAGGATCTTAAATGCAATGTATACATTTCCTGAAAGGGAGAGGTACATAAACTATGAGTTGGCTTTAAGTGAAGTTTATGCAAGTGGAAGGAAGGGTAACTTTATTATTGTTCCACTGTGTTTCTCACTTCCATTTGACAAATGGAGAAGTGGATACTTGCAGTGGTCAAGAGGGTATCCATTGTTTCGAAGATTGCACACAAAATAGTTCGGTGTTTTACTTTGGTATTTCATAATATAGTCATATAAAAGTACAGATGTGTTTGGAGTTCTTGATAAATTACATGCAAGAGATAGAAGTACTGCATGGATATTCAAAGTAATTATTTAGCTCAGTTATATTTAGCTTTGGGCTACATCATCAAGATCCATCATCATTTTCCTTTGGGCCATTTTACACTGTGAGAAAAATTGAACTAGGTATGATGGCTAAGATTTCATCGAGTTATAAATACATCCTTAGACTGCCACCCCTCCTGTGTATTGAATACAAATGCTACATGTTTGTTAGGAAAACTGTACATAAAGTATAAAGCTAAAAGTGCGTACGGTCTTCTGCCTCCAGACCTGACAATTGGATTTATAGTCTTCCTGACCCTAACGGTGTAGCTATATTATTTATATAAATGGAATAATTTTTATATGCATTGTTCTTCAGTGTGTTCTTGTCATTGAACGGAATAGTTTCAGTACTTAATCCGGTGCAGCATCATAGTGTTCTACTGTATTGTTTTATCAGAATTTATGTAGCTAATCCTTTATTGATTAGATTTCTAGGTTTTTTTTTTTTTTCAATTATAGTGAACATCTTCAAACATATATATTTGCATTTGGTACAACTATTCCTATTAGGATAAATACTAAGTAGAATTGTTGAGTCAAATGTTGATAGATCTAACCAAATTGCCTTCAGTAAAGGCAAGTTTACACTTGAACCACCAGAGCCTCTAAATATCTATATCCACACACTCTGCCAGCTCTGTTGGTTCAAGTTTAGTCCTGATACATTTTTTTAATACCTCAAGATTTGAGTATAGAATAAACTGTACCTTTGGTTACTGTGGAAGACACTGTATGGCGTTAATGAGATTTGATGGTTTTAGAATTGGCCCTTTTAAGTTATCCTTTCTCTGGGATTAGATAAGTTGTTTTAACTTTTATGCTTGGCTTTTTAACTTTAGCTCCTGTCTTCTTAAACTCTCTAAACCAAGATTTCTTCCATTTTCATGAAAATAAAAAAAGGTTTAATTTATAGTAGAGTTTTATTGAACTCCTTAGAATCTCACTAATCAACTTTTTGTTAAAGAGCTTAATGTTGATACTTTTTTGTTCAGGACTGGGACTCTTACATTCTGTTACGTAGTTTTTTTAACTTGTTTCTTTCAGCCTCTTGTGGTCTACCTACTTCAGTGCCATTGTTGGTCTCATGAGTCAAGATCATCAGGCCTTGCTCAGTATTTAAATGTAGATGTCCGTCCTACCTTGTATAAAGATAGAACTTTAGATATTAATTTATGGGGATGAATGTGTGCCACCTGTTGACATTTGACTATCAGTTTTTTTCTGTTTTCTTATTTTCAGGCAGAGGCAGAGGTGAATGTGGTTTCTACCAAAGAAGTTTTGATGAAGTAGAGGGTGTATTTGGTCGAGGAGGTGGCAGAGAAATGCATAGATCACAGAGCTGGGAGGAAAGGTAACTAAAGGATCCACATATTGGCATAAAAATTTCTTGGCATGTAAAACTTACTTATTTTTTGCTTTCTGCAGAGAGAAATGTCTTTGTACAGTTACAGGGTTTCATTTTTAAAAATGCTGTTAAGTATTGAATAGCAAGTTGTATGTTAGATTTTTTTTCGTGTGTGTGTGTGTGTGTGTGTATGTATGTGTGTGTGTGAGACAGAATTTTGCTCTTGTTGCCCAGGCTGGAGTGCAATGGCGCGATCTCGGCTCATTGCAACCTCCACCTCCCAGGTTCAAGTGATTCTCCTGCCTCAGCCTCCCGAGTAGCTGAGATTACAGGCATGTGCCTTCACACTCGGCTAATTTTGTATTTTTAATAGAGACAGGGTTTCTCCATGTTGGTCAGGGTGGTCTTGAACTCCTGACCTCAGGTGATCCACCTGCCTCAGCCCCCCAAAGTGCTGGGATTTCAGGCATAAGCCACCACACCCTGCCAATGTTAGAAATTTTTAAATGATTCTTACTTAAAGGAAGAAGGATTCTAGATAGATGAGTTAATATATTAGTGCCAGCATAGTTAATTTGATTTGGTATTTGATAGCAATTACCAAATTGTCATGTTATTGTTTGTTCTATTAGTAAAAGTATCTTCTCTCTATATTCTTTATGACTTTATATGAAGCCTGTCAACTTGAGTAAGGGCAATTGCACAAAGATGTATGTACAAAAATGTGATGATATTTATAATAAAAAATAATTGGACATAAGCCAAACAGATTGGTATTGCCCTTATATAATTGTATATCCACACAGTAGGATACTACATGAGCAGTAGAGGTGTTTTTTAAAATATTTAATTATGTGGAAAAACACATTCTAAGAGTAGTGTATAAAACTGTATACTATCTCATTAAAAAGATAATATTTTGGGTCAATAGAAACAGCTTTTGGTAGATGAGGGAATAGATATTTTTCTTTTTATCTTTGTGCTTTTCTGTATTTTCCAAATTTTAGGAAATAACTATGTATTTATTTGTTTTGTAATTTGAAGAAAAAATGCTTTTAGAAAAATGGGAAAGTGAGTGTCACAGATAGGAGATCTATATATATCACTGTGAAACTTTGTTTGAAACCTATTTTATCTTTTCCAGGGGTGACAGACGTTTTGAAAAACCAGGACGAAAAGATGTAGGTAAGGTTCTTACCTATGCACATAAGGACAAACTTATTAGAAATTGACTCAGTTATCTGCACCTCTCCAGTAGATGGGGCTGTAGCAATTCTTGCATTTAGACTTCCGTGGTTATTTGAAGTCTCCACTGAATGAAACCGGAGGTGATGAATACAGGCATTAAGATTTACTTGACTTACTTTCTAGGTCTGTGTGTTCTCTGCAAGGTATGTATTCTTTATTAAGGCCAATTTGTGAACTGAAGATTCAAGTTAGGAAACAATCTACTAACTCCTTTTCTAGTGTAGATAGCATCTCATAGGTGAGAAGAAATAAGGCAGATGCTAAAGTCTTTGTTTTTGTATCAGAGAATAAAGGCCAAAACTATGACGATTCTTAACTTTACTAATTTATTTATTTGGCCTTTTTGCTGTGTAGTCTTTTGTTTTTTTCCTTGTTTTGTGATGAGAACAAAAAAAATTAACTCAGATAAATTACATAATTAAGGTAGCCACTGAAGAGGAACATAATAAAGGAACAGGATTTCAGTGTTTATGATGAATTAATCATAGTTTATATTTAAATAATTTATACTGTTAAGGTGAGCTTCCTAACTGATGAAAGGTAATACCTTACAAACTACCAGTAGGTATTCACATTTGAGAGAAAATAATGCCAATTCATAGTACCATTGGAGCTATGAAAATTAGCATTACAAGTTCTAAATCCTACAAGTGCTAAAAAAAAAAAAGTTCTCCGGAGCATGATTGTAATTGATTGTGGTAAACATTTCTTTCTCCACCCCCCCACCGCCTTTTTTTTTTTTTTTTTTTTTTTTTTGGAAAGGGATTCTCACTCTGTCACCTAGGTTATTGCAGTGGCGTGGTATTGGCTCACTGCAACTTCCGTCTTCCAGGTTCAGGCGATTCTCCTGCCTCAGCCTCCTGAGTAGCTGGGACTACAGCCATGTGCCACCATACCCAGCTAATTTTTGTATTTTTAGTAGAGACTGGGTTTCACTATGTTGGCCAGGCTGGTCTCTTGATCTCGTGATCTGCCCGCCTCAGCCTCCCAAAGTGCTGGGATTACAGGCGTGAACTACCACACCTGGCCAGTGGTAAACATTTCTCATAAACATGTTAAATGTGTAAATACCATTCATAGACTGATTTGCATATTGTTTTAAAAACTACGTAGTTATAACAGCGTTGTATCACTGTTTCCATAAAAAACTTAAACATACCAATAACTAAATTTCTCATGAATGTGGCATTAGGAATATGTGGTTGTATTTATATTAATGAAAACCATTAAGGTCCGATGTGGTAGCTCATGCCTGTAATCCTGGTACTTTGGGAGGCCGAGGCAGGATAGCCTGGGCAACATGGCAAAACCCCGTCTCTACAAAAAAGTACAAAAATTAGCCATGCCTGGTGCCGTGTGCCTGTAGTCCCAGCTATTTTGGAGGCTGTGATGGAATGGAAGGATATCTTGAGCACAGGAGGCCAAGTCTGCAGTGAGCCATGATCACACCTCTCTAGCCCAGGTGACAGGGTAAGACCCTGTTAAAAAAAAATAGGTGTGTAGCATGAGGAAATTTGAAACAGACTGGGTAGTTTATTGTTAGCTTTAGCCATATTGTAGACTATTGGATTAGCATAATCTTGGGCGCCCTGTCAAGACCTTTGTTGCCATCTTTGTCTGATTTAGTACTTTTGCAATGAATATATAGAGGAGATGAGCAGTAGTTACCGGATTTGCAATTAGAAGATCACGATTATTCTAAGCTCTCAGATATCGTTAGTATCATAATAAAATGAGTGATAATGCTTTACAGAATTTTTAGGATTATAGTAGTCTTTCCCCTTTATTTGTGGGAGATGCATTTCAAGACCCCACCAGCGGATACCTGAAGTCACAGATAGTACTAAATCCCATAAATACTGTTTTTTTCTATACATATAGACCTATGATAAAGTTTAATTTATAAATTAGGCACAGTAAGAGATAGCAGTAATAACTAATAATAAAATGGAAAAATTATAACAATATACAGTAGTAAAAGTTATATAAGGCTGGGCGCAGTGGCTCACACCTATAATCCTAGAACTTTGGGAGGCTGAGGTGGGTGGATCACTTGAGGTCAGGAGTTTGAGAGCATCTTGGCCAACATGGTGAAAACCTGACTCTACTAAAAATACAAAAAAAAAAAAGTAGGTGTGGTGGTCAGCAACTGTAATCCCAGCTACTTGGGAGGCTGAGGCTTGAACCCAGGAGGTAGAGGCTGCAGTGAGCCAAAATTGTGCCACTGCACTCTAGCCTGGGTGACAGAGCAAGACTCCATGTCCCCCCCAAAAAAGGAAAAGAAACTGTTATATTAATGTGGTCTCTGTCTCTTTCTTAAAGTACTGTAATATTTTTGGATCACAATTGACCGTAGTTAACTGAAACTAAAAAGCAAAACTGGATAAGGCAGGGGTACTGTAAATAAGAGTATATGAACTCATTTATTCATTCAGCACATACTGAATTCCCACTTAACATGCCAGGTGCAAAATACTTTTTTAGAGGATATTGTTGGTGTGCTGATCAGATTTTCAGATCATTCAGTTTTGTGAGGGATAGCTATGGAGTGGAACAGTTAGGATATGAGATCAGAATCAAGGTGAATCAAGAGATCAAATCTAATCAAATGGAGATTAACAGCAGGAATGAAAAGTCTTACATAGGAAATTATAGAATTTAAAGTAAGAAGTGGTTGTATGTAAAAGCAGCCTCCTGTGTAAAGAACACAACCCTCTCAGTGACTCTGGGCTTCCTGTTAATCAGCAGTGTCCTTATGTCCTCTCAGCCATGGACTGAATCAGGTGATAGGCCCATAGTCTTTTATGTTGCCACAGGCAAGCCTAAGCATTGTGTTCACTCCTGGGACCACACCTTGAAAGGGTCCACACGTTGCAGTAGGAGGGCCGAGACATTTGAAGCCTTGTGATGGGGACTTTGTGAAGGAGATGGAGCTGTTTGGATAGGAGACAAGACGGAGGACAGGGCAGAGTGGGGAGCAGGGTTTATAGGGTTACTGTATACCAATACCTGCTTACTAATCATGTGAGAGAGGACTTAGATTTGATCTGTATGAGTTTAAAAAGCAGGAAGGGGCTAACCGATGGAAGGTTCCAGGAGGCAGGCATTGGACACAATCTTAAGAGATCTAATAATTAGAGTTATCTGAAAATGGCCTGCATTGCCTTGGGAAAGTAGTGAGTTGCTAGAATAAGAATAGCTTGATTTTAACTATTCACACATATTTACACTTTGGTGGTTCGGAATAGTCAAGTTTAGTCATTGTTGTTTGTGGCTTTCATATTTTAACCACATTAATCCAATGAGGGTAATTTTTCTAGCTACCCTCTATTAAAGGTAAAGGTTCTTTTCTTTACATCCCATTGGTATATATTTGAAAAGGCACATTCCATAAAATAAATTGACATGAAGTATCTCAGAATATTTAAGGATACTAACTACTAGTTTATCTACTACTATATATTATAAATGCTAGTATACTAAAATATGGTACTTTCCATATATATATATTCTAACATGTCGTAGTGACTTGTTGAATGCTTTTTGAAAAGATGCTCACTTTGGGTTAACTGTGCTAAGGATTCTGAGCTTGTACTTTTTGGATGTAATCCACTTTTGTTAAAAATAATGTAGATCTTTAAAAAACATTGTTCATAATTATATCTTACACTCTCCAAGAGTGGCAATAATAAATTAGTTTGTTCGAACACACCGATATATATTGATCAGCATGAGATCAATATGAGTATATTGTGAGATGTCCTACGACATCACGTTAAGACAGTTCAGGTACTGAAGGTTCCAGGATAATCTGTTCTTTTTAAAATTAGGAATGATGCTTACCATGTATTTCCTTCTTATATGAAGAGAGAAATGGGTAGAATTGTAGACACCTGGGTAAGAAGCGTGTATAACCCCTGTGAACAACCGTAGGAGAATGTGAAGGTGGAAAAAGGTCTTTGATATTAGAATTGCAATTCCTATTCAGTAGGAATTGACTGTGCACAGGGTGAGATCAGTTCTGGTGCCCATCTTGTGGTATGATTCCGTAAGGGTGCAATATAAATTTGTATTTTGGTATGAAATACTTGTTAATAGACATAGTGATTTTTGGTTATAGACTCTTTTGGTACTTGTACAAGTATGGGCTTGTACATACATAAAACCAGGCCCCTAAGATTTTGGTAACTACATGTCTCCAATTTGTTGGAACTGTCATGCTGTGTTTATCAGTTTCCAAAGGAATGTTTAAAGTTAGTTCCAGAGTAGTCTTCCTGGTCATGTATCCTAGACTCCAGGACCAAGCTCCCAGGTAGTCCAGATTAATGAGCTGCACATCCAGGAAGGCAGAGCAGCCATTCTGCCTCCCAGTGATTTCCCCCCTTCTCCCATTTTTACTTCATTTTCCTCAAATGGAAAGAAGATAATGGTCTTTCTATAGAAAACTTAATCCTTAATCTAGAAACTGTGATTTTAAATAAGTGAAAGAAACATGAACAGTTCTCTCAGAAGCTTTCTGTCTCCTACAAAAAAGTTTTGAATCACGTTTCTTATAGATTTATAAAATACTTATTAAGTAACAGAAGTTTAGCAATAGGTTTTTTTGGCATGTGTAGGGGAAGTCATATTTAGTTTTCAAATGCCAAGTTTATGTATAAACAGTAAGTATAATATGAAACTCATCTGACTTGAATGGAATCTTAGATCCCAGGTTTTACTTATTCACTTGTGTCACTTTGGGCAGCTTCACTTAACTAGTGAGATTGTGATCTGTGTTGGTGATATAGTATTTTTAGGAAAAAACATACCATGTAAGTCTTCAATACTACTTTATTTTCACAGGTTAGGTGAATCTTGTTAATTATAGAAATAAGAATTCTTGCTGTCTTTCTGTGTTACTGTAGTCTTGGGTTGGGAAAATCTGTTGGTCTAATTAC